CTGGGAGGTGGAGATTGCAGTGAGCTGAGATCATACCACTGCACTCCAACCTGGGTGACAGAGTGAGACCCTGTCTCAAAAAAACAACAACAGATAACCATAAAAAGTAAAACATGACCCACAATCCTATTACCCAGAGGTAATCACTGGTAACGTTTGTTATATATTTTTCCTTTTTTTTTTTTTTTTTTTAATAGAGTCGGGGTCTCACTGTGTTCGCCAGGCTGGTCTTGAACTCCTGGCTCAAGCAATCTGCTCTGCCTCAGCCTAACAAAGTGCTGGGATAACAGGTGTGAGCCACTGTGCCTGGCCTGTTGTATTTCTTTCCATGTATATTTATATTTAAAAGTAGATAATACCATGCATGCATTTTCTTTGTTTTTGTTTGTTTTGAAACGGAGTCAGGCTCTGTCACCCAGGCTGGAGTACAATGGTGTGATCTCGACTCACTGTAACCTCTGCCTCCTGGGTTCAGTGATTCTTCTGCCTCAGCCTATCCAGTAACTGGGACTACAGGCACGTGCTGCCACAACTGGCTAATTGTTGTATTTTTAGTAGAGACAGGGTTTCACTATGTTGGCCAGGCCTGTCTCCAACTCCTGACCTCAAATAATCCACCCGCCTCAGCCTCCCAAATGCATGTATGAGGCCAAGTGTGGTGGCTCACACCTACTGGGATTACAGGCGTGAGCCACCACACCTGGCCTCATACATGCATTTTCACAACTTGCTTTACCCAGTAGATCATAGATATACTTAGTAGATTATACATTTTCATGTTAATAATTTACATTTCTGTACTTTATAATGTTGTTCTGAGACCGTATCTCGCTCTGTGGCTCAGGCTGGAGTGCAGCGGTGCAATCTCAGCTCCCTGAAACCTCTGCCTCTCAGGCTCAAGGGATTTTCCCACCTCAGCTCCTTCAGTAGCTGGGACTGCAGATGCACACCACACCTGGCTAATTTTTGGCATTTTTTTGTAAAAACAGAGTCTCGGCATGTTGCCCAGGCTGGTCTCAAACTCTTGGGTTTAAGCAATCCTCCTCCCAAAGTGCTGGGATTACAGGTGTGAGCTACCTTACCCAGCCTGTAACATTGTTTTCAGTAGTATTTTCCATCAAACAAATAAACCATAATTGATTTACTCGATTCCATTTAACACAGAAGTTGAAGGGCTTTTGTTTGTTTTTTAATATGTAGACAGGGTGCCACTGTGTTCCCCAGGCTGGTCTCGAACTCCTGGCCTCAAGTGATCCTCCTGCTTTGGCCTCCCATAGTGCTGGGATTACAGGCATGAGCCACCGTACCCTGCCAGAAGTTGATGATTTTAAGACGTTGGAGGAAATAGATTAAAAAGGAAAACAAACTGGCCTCAGAATTCATCCAGAAAGATGAATGAGTCACAGTAAGGAGCCTAGCCATGGCAGTGATTGAAGAATGAAAAGTGTAAAGAGGGCCAGGCTCGGTGGTTCACACTTGTAATCTCAGCACTTCGGGAGGCTGAGGCAGGTAGATCACTTGAAGTCAGGAGTTGAGACCAGCATGGCCAACGTGGTGAAAGCCTGTCTCTACTAAAAATACAAAAATTAGCTGGGTGTGGTGGCTCGTGCCTGTAATCCCAGCTACTCCAGAGGCTGAGGCAGGAGAATCACTTGAGCCTGGGCGGCAGAGGCTGCAGTGAACTGAGATCGTGCCATTCACTACACTTCAGCCTGGGCAACATAGCTGGAGTCCGTCTCAAAAAAAAAAAAAAAAGTGTAAAGATAAGAGAAATATGAATAGTCTGAAAATAATGCTGATGGTTATGGAGAAAATTGACTCTTCAGTCTCTCAGGAAAGTGGAAAATTCTGGCTTCCATGGAAGAGGCCATATGGGATGTCAGTTTTCTACTATAATGAGAAGCTGGAGACAAGAAATTTGGACTGTGATAGGTGTTTGCTCCTAGTAGTATAAGAGGGGTCCCGGGGTCGAGGGAATGGAAAAAAAAAAAAAAAAGGAGGAGTCCCAAAGTAGATGAGAAAGTAAGAAAATACATCCCTTCATATATGTAGAAAGGCACATTGAGTGATTTGTGAAGTACTGTGGTTTTCATGTCAAAAACATAAACTCTAGAACCAGGCTGTAGATTTTAAATTCTAACTCTCCATTAGCATATAACTTGGGCAAGTTTATTAATTTCCTTGTGAGTGAAATAAGGGGTAATAGTATACCTGCCTCATACAATCACTGTGAGGATCACCAAGGTAATAGTCATAAAGCAGTTAGCAGTGCCTGGTACACAGTTAAGACTCAATACACATGAGTAGAATAAGCATACCTGGCTAGGCATGGTGGCTCACACCTGTAATCCCAGCACTTTGGGAGGCTGAGACGGGTAGATCACAAGGTCAGGAGTTCAAGACGAGCCAGGCCAACATGGTGAAACCCCGTCTCTACTAAAAATACAAAAAAAATTAGCCAGGCATGGTGGCGTGCACCTGTAATCCCAGCTACTCAGGAGACTGAGGCAGGAGAATCACTTGAACCCAGGAGGGAGAGGTTGTGGTGAGTGGAGATCATGTCATTGAACTCCAGCCTGGGCAACAGAGCAAGACTCCATCTCAAAAAGAAGCAGCAGCACACCTGTTGGGAGAAGAGGGAGCAGCAATGGAAGTGACAGCAGTGCTTTTGTAGTAGGAGCTAATGTAAAGATACGAGCTATAAACATGGAGGACTGAAGCAGGAACTGATCAGTACAAGCGTATGGTTCACTGAAGTCCATGTACACAAGAACTCCCCACCTCACCTCGGCATCCAATGTGAAATGATCGATAAACATATAGAATCAAAAAGCATCTTATTTTCTTTTTTTTTTTTTTTTTTTTTTTTGAGACGGAGTTTCGCTCTTGTTACCCAGGCTGGAGTGCAATGGCGCGATCTCGGCTCACCGCAACCTCCGCCTCCTGGGTTCAGGCAATTCTCCTGCCTCAGCCTCCTGAGTAGCTGGGATTACAGGCACGTGCTACCATGCCCAGCTAATTTTTTTGTATTTTTAGTAGAGACGGGGTTTCACCATGTTGACCAGGATGGTCTCAAACTCTTGACCTCGTGATCCACCCGCCTCGGCCTCCCAAAGTGCTGGGATTACAGGCTTGAGCCACTGTGCCCGGCTAAGCATCTTACTTTCTACAGGCTGGATAGAGAAGCAGGCAGGCGCAGCATGGAACTAAGCAATAAGTTCAAAGAAAGTTAGGAAAGCTTAAAAATTAAGCCCTCTGAACCCAAACCTAATTTCCTTTCTGAGTGCCCTCAGAACTATGGGATTTTGTCTCTTTTTTTGTCTCATTGGTCCAGTGGTTCTCAACTAGAAACAACAGCGCCTGCCACCCTCCCTACACCCATAGACATTCGGAAATGGCGTAGGGGTATTTTTTATTGTCAAAATCTCTTGTGAGTATTTAGTAGGGAGGCACCAGGAATGCTGAATTCTCTTCAATGTGCCAGGTAGTCCCAAATAATGAGGAATTGTCTGTAGAAATGCCAGTCGCACTCACATTGAGAAACACCGTGGTGTGTATTTGCAAAGGTATATGCCGCAACTGAGAGCAAAGATGAGAAAAGGAAAAAGAGAGAGAGAGAAACACTGTAATGTAAAATTCAGGTTGCAGGTTTGTCAGGCCAGTATTTTCTAAGTTCGTTGCCAAAAGGCAAGCTGTATGCTAAGGATTCTGTATGAATAGACAGGAAGAGACTTCTTTGTTCCACAGGACATTTTCAGAAAATTCTTACTTTTGTTTGGAATATCAGAAGTTGCTTACAGGCCAGGGCCTTAGCACACACCTGTCATCTCAGCATTTTGGGAGTCTGAGGCGGGAGGATTGCTTGAACCCATGGGTTTGAGACCAGCCTGGGCAAAATTGGCAGACCCCATCTCTACAGAAAAAGAAAAGATAGCCAGGCATGGTAGCCAGCACCTATAGTAGAAGTTCCAGCTACCTGGGAGGCTGAGCTGGGAGAATTGCTTGAGCCCTGGAGGTTGAGGCTGCAGTGACCAGTGATCACACCACTGCACTCTAGCCTGGGTGATAGAGCAAGATCCTGTTTAAAAAAGAAATTGCAGCTGGATGCAGTGGCTTACGCCTATAATCCCAGCACTTTGAGAGGCTTGAAGTGGGTGGATCACCTGAAGTCAGAAATTTGAGACCAGCCTGGCCAACATGGTAAAACCCCGTTTCTACTAAAAATACTAAACTTAGCTAGGAATAGTGGTGCACGCTTATAGTCCCAGCTCCTTGGGAAGCTGAGGCAAGAGAATCACTTGAACCCAGGAGGCGGAGATTGCAGTGAGCTGAGATCACGCCATTGCACTCTAGCCTGGGCAACAAGAGTGAAACTCCATTTCAAAAAATAAAAAATAAATTGCTTACAGATTAATTTGCCTAAATTTAAAGGCAAAGAGTCATCTAGGATGTTTTTTTCTGGCACAGAAAGCCATTTGAACTGTTCTTTGTGTAGGATGTAGAGGATCACTAATGTAGGTGCCTCCTCCCCCATCTTTATCATCTTCTTTCAGCTAAGCCCAGATAGTAGGATGTATGTAAGTTTTAGGTGTATCTGCTCTGATCTGTTAAATCCAAATTTGAGGGGATTTTTAGATGGCTCTTGAATACAGTCTCATAGGCCAGGCACAATGGCTCACACCTATAATCCCAGCACTTTGGGAGGCCAAGATGAGAGGATCACTTGAGGCCAGGAGTTTGAGACCAGCCTGATCAACATAGTGAGGCCCCATTTATATTAAAAATAATAATAATAGCCGGATGTGGTGGCTCATGCCTGTAATCCTAGCACTTTGGGAGGCCGAGGTGGGTGGATCGCCTGAGGTCAGGAGTTCAAGACCAACCTGGCCATCATGGTGAAACTCTATCTTAAAAAAAACAAAAGAAAAATAATAGAAATAGCATAAGCACACAATTACCACCTAATATGTTAATCATTTTTATATCTGTGTTCATCTCAGGAGAGAAACCCTTTATCTGTGAAATCTGTGGCAAAAGCTTCACCAGCCGCCCCAACATGAAGAGACACCGCAGAACGCACACAGGCGAGAAGCCCTATCCATGTGATGTGTGTGGCCAGAGGTTCCGCTTTTCGAACATGCTTAAGGCCCACAAGGAGAAGTGCTTTCGGGTGACCAGCCCTGTGAATGTGCCGCCTGCTGTTCAGATCCCACTTACAACTTCCCCAGCCACCCCAGTTCCTTCTGTGGTGAACACACCCACAACCCCTACCCCTCCAATCAATATGAATCCTGTAAGCACTCTTCCCCTCGGCCTATCCCCCACCCCTTCTCACACCTGCACATCCACCCACACCCTCACCACCCACACCACCTTCCCATCCCTCCGGTCCCTCACCTCCCCCCACCTCCAGCTCTCTTTAAGAGTGAGCCTTTAAATCATAGAGGCCAGAGTGAGGACAACTTTCTGCGGCACCTGGCAGAGAAGAACAGTTCAGCACAGCATCATTAACATCCGTCTCCGTAGTGTGTTCTCCAGGAGACACGTCCCCATGTGTGAGTGTGCACAGAGGGAGTTGGTGAGCATTTCCTTAGTTCTCAGACTCTCTGCCTCTACCAAGAGCTTCGCCAGTGTCACTGAGTCAACAGATCCAAGGGAATGAACAAGAAGACTACCTTGAGCTCACGAGGGACTGTCATCTAAACAAGGGGAACCACTGAACGAAAGAAAGCCCATTTGCTTGCATTTTCTGATGACTTTTATAAGTTTAAAATACTCAGACTTGTGGAATTTTATAATTTCATATCAGCTGATGAGGTATGCTTGCTTTTATATCCCAGACTTCTCCTCAAAGAGGGGATAGGCCTGGTTTCCTTTGTACTAATCGGGAAGGCTGTGAGATTAATCCAGAGCATTAATTGTATCACTGTGTATGGTAAGGAATTCTTTTCAGCTTTTGGTGCCAGCTACAGAGTTGAGCTGGCCGTGTTTCACAGTATATCAAGCATTATAGAGAAAGACAGACAAGTTCT